TTGGCTGCCCGGGAAGTAGCTCTATAGACCAGGCTAGCCTCAAACTCGCAGAGATCCACCTGCCTCTGCTTCCAGAGTGCTGGGATTTAAAGATATGCACCACTATCACCCTAAAACTCTTCGTTTTAAAACAGTGGTTTAGAGCACTTGTTTCTCTTGCAGGGGACTCAGGTTCAATTCCCAGCACCCACGGAGCAGCTTGCAAACATAACTCCAGTTCTAGGAAATCTGACACTCTCTTCTGACTTTTCCAGGCACAAGGCATGCTCATGGTGTACACACACACACCTACATGCAAGCAAAACATTGACACGTAAAATAAAATCTCAAAAGTGAAAATCTTTAAAAGAGGAGTAGGAGGAAAAAAAGAAGGAATGTCAAGAGAGAATCAGAGCTACATGGAATTGTAGCATCAGGAACATGTGGACTGGCAAGTGCAGAAAATAATCAGTAAGAGATCATACTAAATTTATGAAAAAGATGGTAGCAAAAGGCTGGGCCAGCTACGAGTCATGTATTTCTATGGAGAAGTCTTTTTTAACAAAAGATGTTTGTTTTTATGTGTATGAATGTGTATATATATGTACCACAAGCATGTCTGGTGTCTGCAGAGGCTAGAAGAGGTCATCAGACATCAGATCTCTTGACACTGGAGTTAAAATTGTAAGCCACCGTGTGGGTGCTGCGAGCTGAACTCAAGTCCTCTGAAAAGGCAGCGAGTACTCTTAACACAGAGTCATCTCTCTTGCTCCAACTCTCTGGCTCCTCCTTGTCCCCTTCCCCCTTTCAAAAACAGGGTTTTCTTATGTAGCCTTGCCTGGCCTTGAATTCTCAGCCACCTTCCTGCCCCAGCTTCCCAAGTGCTGGGGTAACAGGTGTGAACCACCACACCTGGCCAGACCTTGGTTCCTAACACTTGGCACTTCCAGTTCAGCCTGGCTTTGTAATTACCTTTCAGGTTAGTTCTGTACAATGCTGTGTTGTGGGTTCTTAAGCCCTAACACCTGTGACATACAAGAGGCATTACCACTATCTTATAAAGAAACTAAGTCTTCAGAAGGTAAAACAATAATGTTCTATTACTTGAGATTTGACTTTAGGTCTGATGTCAGAAGCTCTGTTCCTAGACATTGATACTGTACAAATGATGATGAGCCTTAAGTCCCTGTACCCTCCTTAAGCCCACTCCAAATCAGTCTGACCTTTGTGTGTGTCTTCGTGGAGACCGGAGGACTTTGGGAGCCATTGCTCAGGAGCCACTGACTTTGTTCTTTGAGACAGGGTCTCACTGACCTGAGGCTTACCTTAGGCTAAGCTGGTAGGCCAGCAAGAGCCTCCCCAGTGCTGGGATCCAAGCCCATGACATTGATCCTGGCCTTTTCACGAGATCTAGGGATTAGACTCAGGTATTCATAAATAGCAAGCACTTTACTGAGATATCACTCCAGTTAATCCCTAATTTTGACTTCTTTTTTTTTTTTTTTTTTTTTTTTTTTGGTTTTTCGAGACAGGGTTTCTCTGTGGCTTTGGAGGCTGTCCTGGAACTAGCGCTTGTAGACCAGGCTGGCCTCGAACTCACAGAGATCCGCCTGCCTCTGCCTCCCGAGTGCTGGGATTAAAGGCGTGCGTCACCAACGCCCGGCTTAATTTTGAACTTCTAATTATCTTATTTATAGAAACCTAAAACTTGCCAAAAGATCAGCCTATTGTATATATCCCATATGGTAAGAGGCTGGCCCATTGCTACAGTGAACCAGAGTGAAATGAGCAGTCAAAAATATCCATCTAGGCCGGGCGTTGGTGGCGCACGCCTTTAATCCCAGCACTCGGGAGGCAGAGGCAGGCGGATCTCTGTGAGTTCGAGGCCAGCCTGGTCTACCAAGCAAGTTCCAGGACAGCCTCCAAAGCCACAGAGAAACCCTGTCTCGAAAAACCAAAAAAAAAAAAAAAAATCCATCTAATGGCACATGCCTTTTATCCCAGAACTTGGAAGGCAGAGACAGGAGTTCAAGGCCTGTCTTGCCACTACAAAGGCCAGCTTGATCTACAGAGCAAGTTCCAGGACAGTCAAAGCTACATAGAGAAACCCTGTCTCAAAAATCCAGTCTGTGTGTGTGTGTGTGTGTGTGTGTCCAAATAGATATGTATATAACAACATTAGGTCCTCATTTGAAAATGCCTCATTGCTTATCAGGCAACTGCAGAGGCTGCTTTTTTGTTGTCTAAGAAGCTGAGGCTTAATAAGAGGGGAGGAATGTACTGTCTCCCTCAAGAAATAACTTTGGATTTCCAACCCATTGAAATGAAAGGAACTTAGGTACCTTTTTTTTCAGTGAAACTTTTGAGACTGAGACAGTATTTGCTATTGTCTCATAAGCCATGGGAACTGGCTAAGACAGATACGGATATCATCTCAAGAGAAGCCTAGGGGAGCCCCTACCAGAAACTTTGTAGTTTATTAATGAAGGAAGTGATGTAGAGCATGTGTCTCTCTGGAGTTCATGACTAAGGTGTTTTCCATTACCAAATGCCCTGTAGGAAGGGACCAATCATCTTTCACTTTCTAAACAATTAACCAACTTACATTTATTTTCATATCTGTGGCTGAAACAGAGCTTATCCAGTGTTGACAATAAAAACCATAGCAAGTAAAGAATAGTTTCCGGTTAGCGCCAACTCCTGGATGCACTCTGAGGAGCAGGTTTTGGGCCATCATCTAGGGGACAGACAGATCCATAGGACACTTCCGGGGTTCCCTCTTCCCTACAGGGATTGGACATGAGCACTAGGCTCTAGGTGCCTCTTTAGTTGCCAGGGTTAAATGTATAGTTTCTCTCAAGACACCAGATACACAAAGAGATTCTACTTGCTGAAAAACTCTGTTGAACTTTACATTTTCCAATGAGCCACTTTTGAATCTTTGACAAATAGGTTCTACTTGATAGAGATTGATGAATGGAAAGAATTGACTATTCAACAGCTGACGTCCCTACTTTGAGCCAGACTAAGGACTAGTATTGATTCCACATGCTTCCAAGTCTCTGGGATGGCCCTGCACATTCTCTTTCATTTGGTTTTATGGCTCTTGTTTGGTTGGCATTTGAGCTATATTCTTTTTTTGGGCAGTTAAGATCCCTGCTGGCTATGGCTCCTAACAGATCAGGCACTGGGATCCGTTGGTATCACTCTGGTACACGGGCCTCTCATTAACTTTTACGTCCTTGGTAAACCTGTTGAGTGCAGATGAGCTTTAGGTTTTATCTAGCTCCACATCACAGCTTCAGCAGGCATCTCTTCTTGAGCTCACCCTGAGGATAATGCTTTCATTCCTTCTTTCTCAGGTGCAAATATCACATTCAAGCCCCTAGTGGGCTATTAATGAAGCTGGAACCTGATTTTGGATTTCAGAATTTCCAAGTTTTCCTGTGGGATGGTCCAGGTTCTGGTTAAGCTCTTTATCCCAATAGACCACAGTTCTGCCATCATCTGTCTTGTCTATGCCTTTGGGGTTTTCCCTGACAACAGGCTGAAAGTTAGGACAGCAGACCAGGTCTCACATGCATTTCCTATGTCTCCCAGGATCCTTGGTATTAATGTCATGAAACAGCAATCTATATACATGATTATCCTGAAGAGCAGCATGTTCAGGCAGAACTTTGCCAGGCAAACACCATCTCCTACCACAGTTACACTAACTATGCAATTGAAGGTTGGGCCTAGTAATAAGGAGAAAGCATTTTCTTCCTTATCCAGAAAGTGTCATGTCTAAACAGTTATAGATCACATTCTAGACATCACAGAAGACTCTGGGGGAATGATGGGGTGTGGGAATAAACAGCTTCCTGACCCAAATATAGGGCTTTTACGTTCTCTGTATTCTACTTTAGGGCCCACTAGGAGCAGAACAAGACAAGCTGGTTTCCACCACGTTTCCACACGAGTTTCTCTGCTTTGGTTTCTCTGCCTCATTTGGCTTTGTCTAGACAGAAGTCAAAGGAAGGGCAGCATTTTGGCAGAGAAGAACTGTATCACAAGATTCTTTCTTTTTAAAAAAAGTTTCTAGAGGCTCACCCAGCTTCATTCTGGTGATAGAAATGTGAGAGCTGGAAAAGGAAGAGGACACTTGGGAAGAGAACTAGGTTCAGATGCTTTCAGATGACTAAGTGAGCCCAAGAAAAGAGTGCATGGTTGCCATGACCCCCTCAAAGTACAGCAGGTGGCTGAGCATGATAGTCCATGCTTTTAACCCTAGCAGTCTGGAGGCAGAGTCAGACAGATCTGAGTTCCAGACCAGCCAGGGCTACGTAGTGGAGCCCTGTCTAAAATTAGCACAACAGGTAAGGCGGATATGATATTCAGCTCTCAGTGACTGAGGAGGGGGTCTCTGTTCACTGTCAGGGGGCGTGGGAGCAGGCAGAGATGTGAATCCTTCCCTCAAGAGCATCACATCACAACACGGCTATCACACTAGGAGGGAACAAAAGCCCTGAGCTCAGTGGCACTTTCTAAAGTGCTTGGATGTCTTGACAAAGTACCGTGAGGATTGTAAAGAAAATCAGGCATGAGGGTGTGCCCAGAACATGAGGCAGAGGCAAGCAGATCTCAGAGAGTTCAAGGCCAGCCTGGTCTATGAAGCAAATTTGAGGCCAGGAGATACGGTGAGACCCGAGAGAGAGAAAGAGAGAGAGAGAGAGAGAGAGAGAGAGAGAGAGAGAGAGAGAGAGAGAGAGAGAGAGAGAGAGAGAGACAGAGAGACAGAGAGACAGAGAGACAGAGACAGAGAGACAGAGAGAGACAGAGAGACAGAGAGAGACAGAGAGACAGAGACAGACAGACACAGAGACAGACAGACACAGAGACAGACAGAGACAGAGAGAGACAGAGAGACAGAGAGACAGAGAGAAACAGAGAGAGACAGAGAGACAGAGAGAAAATCAAACATCAGAAATGGCTTGGAAAAGAGAAGTGATAAATTGATATAAATGACTCTAAACTCATGATTCATGACTCAGGCAGACTTTTAGGCCACGATAGATATCGTTGTTGTCTCTGGGATCTTTAGCCCCTAAACCTGGAGAGAAAAACTCTTCTCCTAATTTTCTAACTAGGACTGTGGTAAAGTTCTCTATCCTTTTAAAAGCTGCTACAAGAGTCTGAATGTTTCAAACCAAGCTAGAAAAAACTAAGAACTGTCCCCTTAAATAAGCTATCAAAGTCAGATTTCTTGTTCACCAACATTAAACAAAATGTGTTAGCAGTCAGAATCTCGGCCTAGGCAGGCAGCCTCAATCATCACGTTTAAGGGAAAGGTGACTACGCAGGTGTGAACAGAACTTAGCTGGTTTCGGAGACACGGCAACATAGCAAGCAGCTAACGCACATTCCCCCAACGGCCATCTCACCACCGAGGAATTACAGAAAGGCTCGGAGCATTCTCCCGCCCAGATGGCTTTAAGGTTCGGGGACTCTCTCCATGCATCTGTGTCTACCTAGAGGCAACTCTCACTCTGCTATCCAGACAGAAGCCGAACCTCAATTCCCAAACCCTGCTCTTGTGGTATCTGAAAAGACGCGGGTGCTGGATTCTCTTCCAGTTTCCAAAATACGGTATTCTTGTGGACTTCCAAAGCACAAGCATGTCTCTAGTATAGAGTGCAGACTCCCGAATTCCTTTATGTACCAGGTAATAATTACTGTGGGTCGCGGAGCTTGTAGGTTTTTCTCCTTGACCTTCTGCTCTGCTGTGAACACAAATAACCAATGGTCTACAAAACCACCCCTCCATTCCCTTCCCCATACCACTGACTAGATTCTAGACCTTCGGTGCTAACACCTAGGCCAGAGGTTTCCAGGGCAGTCAAGAGTGGACCGGGTGGGTCCGGTGGCTGTGTGGAAGGGTCCCTATCCCCGGCGCAGCCCCCACTGTGACCGGTCCGCAGGTGGTCCTTGAGCGTCTGCTTGTAGCGGAAGCTCCTTCCACACAGTGCGCAGGGGTAGGGCCGCTCGCCCGTGTGGATGCGCTGGTGCTTTATGAGGTGGTGCTTGCGGATGAAACTCTTGCCGCAGTGCGGACACTGGAAAGGCCGTTCCCCCGTGTGCAGCCTCCGGTGGTTTAACAAGTGTTCCTTCCGCATGAAGCTCTTGCTACAGTCCGTGCACGGGTAGGGGCGCTCGCCTGTGTGGATCATCTGGTGGCGAATCAGCGCCGAGTGGCCATTGAAGTCGATGCCACACTGAGGACAGGAGAAGGGGCGCTCCTGTGCATGCCCCCTCTGGTGCAGCAGGAGGCTGATCTTCAGGCTGAAGCTACGCCCGCACTGCGGGCAGCGGAAGGGCCTCTCGCTGGCATGGGCTCGCCGATGGCCGGTGAGTCGAGCCTGGTCGGCGAAGCGCTTGGGGCAATCGGGACAGGGGAAAGGGCGTTCCGTGCTGTTGTGGACCCGAAGGTGGTATGTGAGTCTTGACGGGTGGGTGAAGGTCCGGGCGCAGTGAGGACAGGTGGGTGGCGTGTCACTCGCGTGGTCCTGGGAGGTGCTGCCGAGATCCACCTGTGGGGCGAAGAGCTTGGGGCACTGGGCGCAGGTTAAGGGGGGCTCGGCAGCGTGGCTACACTGATGAGTCATCAGCGTGTCTTGGCTGAGGCTCTTGCCACAGTGGTGGCAGGAGAACATCTGCTCTCCCATTGGAGGCGGCAGCGGGTAGCTTCCCAGCTGAGTGAAAGTCACCTGCCCCTCTGAGGCTTCGGGCAGCTCAGGCGCTGTCCGTCCGAACGGTGTCCCGGGCGCACACTGCGGGCTCTTGAAGGCTACGTCTGCAAACGTATCCTTGGCTGCCTGTGGTGGGGGCGCAGAGAAGGCGGCTGGAACTTCAGGACACAAGGAGGCTCTAGCCAGGTCTTCAGCTTTGATGACAAGTTCTTCGTCTGAAAGAGGGGACTCAGAGTCAGCTCACCAGCGCCTCTCACGAACGAACAGGTCTGGCAGGTTGCTCTAACTGCTCAGGGAAACTCGGGCAAGAACTCTCATTACTGACAAGGCCCCCGCCGAGTGTGGGCCAAACCGTTACAAACAGGACTGTGCGCCGATGCTCCATCTTGCAAAGGCTTAGTACCAATCTTCCCCATACTGTTCTGTTTCACTTCTCCACTGCCTGTCCTAAAATCATCTTTTCGCTTCCGCTCTACCTCCTATGAGACACTTCACTTCCGCTCTACCTCCTATGAGACAGACCCTTCCGCGGAGTCCGCCGACGCTGTCTTCCCTGAAATAAGAATGTCTGCCCTGAAATAAGAACGCCTTTCCACCTCTATATCTGGCCATTCTGCTCTCCCTTTTCCAGGGTGCTTTCCCATCTCTCTCCCTGTCTTCCCAAAGCACTGTCAATCTTTTAGGCCCACCCTGACCTCACACTCTTTACTAGGGATGGGACTGGCGGTGGGTGGGGCATCAGACAGGGTTTCCTGTAACTCAGGCTAGCCTCAAGCTTGAGTCTAGCCTTGGACTCCTCAAACGCGGGGAATATAGGTTGGCTTTGCACACTCTTGGTGATGCATTACCCAAATACCTAAACTAAAACGGACACATTTTTCGAAACCTCAAATGTCTTTAAGTCATGCATATCTAGCTCACTGCTGCACACCTAACAACGACATGCCTAGGCTGGTGTGCATGTCTGTGGTGTCAATCTCCTAAAGAGCAGAAGCCAGCACACTCCTCAGCTGCACTTCCCAGAGTCTAGAGAAACATCGGACACAGACATTTTAAAAAGCATAAAACAAAACAAAACAAAACAACAAAACCCAAAAAATCCAAACAACAGATTCTATTATGCTATATAAATAATGGAGTCCTCTCTGATCTTCAGATTTTCTTTTATAAATTATACTGCCATGCTGCAGATGTGGAGGTCAGAGGCCAACCTGTAGAAGTTGGCTCTGTCCTTCCACCGTGTGAGTCTTGGGAAATCAAACTTGGATGGCCAGGCTTGGCAACAGGTGCCTTTACCCACTAACGCATCTCACTGACCAAGCATCTCTTTATATTTCAAGAAGTAAATCGCAGTTGACCTTAAATCTTGTTATAGAAGGAAACACTTGTTTCTTTGTCTACTGTTATTTTTCCTTTTACTGAGGGGAAATATTTCCATTTGCACTCCTCCAACACTTTTGCCTATTTCTCTCTACCCCAGTCCCCATTTTTGTTCTATTATATTTTGACTGACTGATCTATTTGATTGAGTGACTGAGATAGAGTCTTGTTGTGTATCCCTGATTGGCCTAGAACTTACTAGTTCTGCCTCCTGAGTGCTGGGATTACAGGCCACCACGCCTGGCTCTGTTCTAAGTGATTTTTCAAATGCTCTGTTTTTCTAATTCCCACATTTTTAAAATTCACTTATACATACTTACTATTCTTCCGTTTTTCTGAGCCAGGCAGTGGTGGCCTGGCTCGGGAGCCAGAGGCAGGCAGATCTCTGTGGATTCAAGACCAGCATGGTCTACAAGAGCTAGTTCCAGGACAGCCTCCAAAGCCACAGAGAAATCCCATCTCGAAAAACAAAACAAACAAACAAACAAAAACAAAACAATCCCATTTTTTCTTTTTTAATATAGTCCTAAAGATTAAACCTAGGGTTTTGTGCTTGAACCACACTTTTATCGCTGATGTACCCAGTCCTAACACTTCTAATTTGCTGTGTAAGAGTACATTTTCTGGGCTGGTAAAATGGCTCAGTGGTCAAATGCATTTGCCATCGAGCCTGACAACCCGTGTTCAATCTCTGGGACCCACATGCCCTTGGATTTCTGCATGTACCTCCCCGCACACTAAGAAATTAGTGTTCTCTAAAATGCATTTCCTACTTAAAATTTATCTTGGTGGCCTTTTGGTTTCATTTCTAACCCTTATCTTTCCTTTCTTCCCCCTTGTTTCTTGTCTTTCTAGAACTTTCCAGCTGCATCCTTCCGTCACTCCCGATGTGAGCAGAATCTGAACATCTCTGTTCCCTCTGTTACTCACCAGGATAGGAGCCCTTGTACAGGTCACTCTCTTTGGACTCCTGGGGGACTCCAACCGGAGGCTCTTCCTCTTGTTTGATCCAAGACAGAATATCTGAGGTTGACAGGCCAGGCTCTACTTGTGGAGAAAAAGAAACAGTGGTTTTTCAGGGACTTGGAGCAGAGGGTGAAACCGGGCTGGAGAGTTGGCTCATTGGTTAAGGCACTTGCTGCGACTTGAAAAGAACCTGGGTTTGATTCCCGGCACATAACCATTTGTAATTGCAGTTTAAGGGGATTCGGTGGCCTCTTACGACCTTCTTGGGCATTCAGTACACACACACACACACACACACACACACACACACACAGGCAAAATATTCACATACATAAAATAATAAATGAATCTCTTAAGAAGGTGACATAATCATGTTCATTGGTTAAGCATGACATAATTTTTTTGTTGTTGTTTATTGTTTGTTTGGGGTTTTTTTGAGACAGGGTTTCTTTGTACAACAATCCTTGCTGTCCTGGAACTTGCTTTGCAGGTTAGGCTGGCCCTGAACTCATAGAGATCCACCTGCCTCTGCCTCCCAAGTGCCTCGTGCTGGGATTAAAGGTGTGTGCCACCACTTCACGGCTTGACATTATTAATTTTGTACTTTTTTCCCTTGGCTATGTGGCTGTGGCTGGCCCTGGATTCACAGAGATCTACCTGCCTCTGCTTCTGAAATACTGGGACTAAAGGCATCACCACCACATCTGTTTACTACAACTTGTTTTTTTTCTTTTTTTTTTTTTTTTCAGTTTTTGTGGTTTTATTTAAATGCAGATAAAACACGCACACCAGCCATCTACCCGTTTTCTTCACTGCGAAGCCTGGCGTTGGGACTGGTGACTCTGGTGGCCTGCTGTGCTGCTCTTTCTACGATGGATTTCCGGTTCTTGGAGGAAACGCTGTGAGCAATCTCAGCACAGAAAGAGTTATTGCGCACCAGAAACTTCCGGAAGCCGCATGTGCTTGGCTTTCTGGTTGCTCCTATAACCAACGTTGGGCATCAGGATTTGGCCCTTGAATCTTCTCGGATCCCCGTGGTCAATACCTCTGTTTCCTCCAGTTTTGTTTAATTTTGACATATCGGTCTGACTGGTGCTGGATGAACCTCTTGCCCTCTTTTCGTTGATCTTGGACTTCATCGGGGGGGGGGCAGCCATGATGCCACAAAGGAGATGGCAGCCACCTGGCAGGTAGCCCCGAGGAAGCTTGTTTTTTCCTTTAAAGACATAATAATCTCATGTATCCCAGATTGGCCTCAAACTTGTTAGGTGACCAAGGAAAACATTTAATTCCTAGTCTTTCTGCCCCCGCTCTATCTGTATTGCTGAGAACACAGCTTGTGCCATTATGCTTGTGAAGCGTGACTATAAAACCCGTATTTCTGATGGACGGGGTTTCACTCATTTGGGACCATCTCTTCATAACCACCAGCCTTCTATAATTTTATTGTGTGTGTGTGCATGCGCGCGCGTGTGTGTGCGCGTGTCTATGCGCGCGTGTAAGCTTAGAGCAAAACCTGAAGTAGTTGATTCTCTACTCTCTTTTAGCTTAAGTTTAATTTTATTTAATTAACATATTTTTCATTTATCTTACATTCCAACCACAGTTTCCCCTCCCACCTCTACTCCTGTTCACCCCCTCCCCCTCCTCCTCCATTCAGAAAGGCATAGGCTTGAACAAAGCGTGGCACAATCAAGGTGAGGTAGAACCAAGTTCCTTCCTTGTACCCCAAAAGTCAGCTAAGTGCAGGGACGGACAGGTCCTGATCTCACTGCTAGGATCCTTACAAACAGACCAAGCTACACCACACGCAGAGGGCCTTGGTCGGTCCTATGCGGGTTCCCTAACTGTTGGTCCAGAGTCCATGTGCTCTCCCGAGCTCAGGACAGCTATGGTTACCTGTTTTCACTCTGTGGGGTTTAGGGATCAAATTCAGAGCATCAGGCTTGACAGCACATATCTTTACCCACTGTCTCAATGGCCCTACCTCTTCCTGTCTGTCTGTCTGGGTCTGTCTGCCTTCCTTTCCTTTTCCTCCCTTCCTTCTACCTTCCCTCCCTCTTCCTCCCTCCCTCCCTCCCTTGCTTCCTCCTTTCCTCCCTCCCACCCATCCTTCTCACCCTTCCTACCTTCCTTCCTTCCTTCCTTCCTGTCTGTCTTTGGTGGGGAAGGGAGGCAAAGTCTCCATTTGTAGCCCTGACTAACATACAACTTCCTGTGTAGTCTAGGCCAGCCTCAAACTCACAGAGATCCACCTGCCTTTACCACCACACCCCACCCCACCCTTTTTTTTTTTAAAGATTTATTTATTTATTACTTATACAGTGTTCTGCCTACATGCCAGAAGAGGGCACCAGACTGAATTGTAGATGGTTGTGAGCCACCATGTGGTTGCTGGGAAATGAACTCAAGACCTCTGGAAGAGCAGTCTAGTGCTCTCAACCTCTGAGCCATCTCTCCAGCCCCACCCTTTTCCATATATATATATATATATATACAAAATCGAGGAAGGAACAAAGACACGACTGGACTTCACTTACCAGCTTTGTTTGTACCTCACAGTAGCAAATAGGAAAAGCAGGTTGCTGTTACTGAAATCTACACAGCAGATAGTCTAGTCTTTGGATTCTATTCTTATTCAACCTCTGCACATAGTTTCTGGCTGATTTAAAAGACACTGGAGGGAGCATGGGAGATAGCTCAGCAATTAAGAACACTGGCTGCTCTTCCAAAGGACCTGGGTTCAATTTCCAGAATCTACATGGTAGGATAGTAGGTCACAGCTATCTGTAACTCCAGCCCGGGGGGATCCAATGCCCTCTTCTGCCCGCCATGGGAACTGCACACATGTGGTACACCAACAAATATTCAGGCAGAAGACCCATACACATAAAATAAAAACAAAGATAAGCACTAAAGAAGCAGAGGCAGGCAGATCTCTCTCTGTGAGTTCAAGACCAGCATGGTATACATACTGAGCTTAAGGATAGACAAGGCTGCAAAGAGAGACCCTGTCTCAAAAAAGAAGAAGAAAGAGGAGGAATAAAGGGAGGAGAGAGGGTAAAAGGAGGAGAGGGAGGGAGGGAGGGAGGGAGGGAGGGAGGGAGGGAGGGAGAGAGAGAGAGAGAGAGACAGTGTGTGTGTGTTTAAAAAGACATTAAAAAACTTAACATAGTGGTATATGTCTATAATCCTAGCATTGGGAGCTGGAGATAGAAGATTGTGAATTTGAGGATGGAGAACATAAAAAGACTGTTTCAAGAAACAAAACAATTAGTACAGTAGTTATTTGTTTTTGTTTGCAAGAAATAAAACTATAATTAACCTACGAGGCCTTTTGAAGAACTAACTATAGAGAGCTTTCATTTATTCTCTGGATATTAGCAGCTTTCTAACTAGCCCAATTTAGCCAAAAAATAAAAAGGGGGGGGCATCCTAGGCCTGGGATGTAATAATAAAAACAAGAGCTGTGAAACAGTATGTGTGTGAGGAAAAGTGGAAGGGGGGGTGGGGAGTAAGAGAAGACAGACAGACAGACACAGAGAGAGAGAGAGAGAGAGAGAGAGAGAGAGAGAGAGAGAGAGAGAGAGAGAGAGAGAGAGAGAGAGAGAGAGAGAGAGAATGATGAAGCTCTTTGGAGGGGGAGAGTTCTTTCAAAAAGAATCCTTAATTCCGAAATGACTTAATACATCTCTCCCATGGTTCCGAAAACAGTGACCTGTGCCATTTAATAGGCAAATATAAGGATCAATCAAATGGCACACACCTTTCGGCCCTTGGGAAGACTGCTAATTGCTAATCAGTTATCGTTATTTTTGTATCTTTTCAGTGAACAAGGCTACAGAGTACACACCATTTAGGGGGGAAAAAGCATCATGATGTCATTTTAGTATTTTGGATTCACATTTAAGATCACCAGATGTGATGATTGGCTGTAACTGTCAGTTTGAGTCTCAATGAGGGACGGTCTACGTTGGGGTTGACCTGCGGTCATATGGAGCTGTGTGACGTGAGTAAATCAAGCTGAGCACCAGACAGCAAGCGTGTGGGCTCGCATGCGTGCGCTCATGTCTTCTGCTCTTGACTGCGGATGAGGCGTCACTGGCCTCTTCAAGCTCCGTGCTGCAGCTCCTCCACAATGATGACTGCTGCCTGGAACTGTAAGCTAAAGTAAGTGCTTTCTTCCCTAAACTGGGTTTCGTCGGGGCATCTTATCACAGTAGCAGAAATGAAACTAGAACAAGTGGTTAGTAGTCCTCTCCACGGGAAAGAAACAGGGCTCATTTCCTGTGTCAGAAGGGAAATTCAGCACAGGCCGAGACGTTCTTCTTGAGAAGGAACTGGAAAACTGAGCATCTTACTATGCCCCAACTGCCAACAGTATGCTTTCTTCTGACTGCCTACTTTCCTCTTTGCAGCTCTGTAATTTGAGTACCTTAAGCAGAAGAGGCCTGTGTGACAACCCCAAGAAAACCCTGAGTGTCATTATAAGCTTCTATAATGGTTTTTTGGTATTCGTTGTCACATTCAGTGCTGGGGGGGGGGTTAAATGTGTTTTGTGAGATCCCATAGTGAGGGGACTCTGGGAGGCTTCTGGCTTCCTCCATGTATTTTTTTTTATGCTGCTGCTTCACATCCATTTGCTGTAGTAAATCTTAGCTGTGAGTCTGACTGTATGCTGAATCCTGCGAGAGTTTGTTTTCTGATTGGTTCAAGTTACACGAATCATATTCTCGAGTTTTCATAAATATCTATGCCGATAATCACCATTGCAAGCTAAAACTATAAACCATCAAAACAGTATTAAGAAAATCAAACACGGCAGGTGGTGGCCTCAGTGTAAGTCAGAACTCGGGAGGGAGAGGCAGGCAGATCTCTTTGAGTTCAAGGCCAGCCCGGTCTATAGAGTGAGTTCCAGGACAGCCAAAGCTACACAGAGAAATCCTGTCTCAAAAGCAAAAAGAAAGACACAAAGAAAAAGAAAATCAGACACACTGTTTGATCAGTTTCAGCAAAAAAAAAATGTACTGATCTAAATATATGCAAAAAAGAAAAATACATACCTCAAAAGAAAAACAGGAGGGGGCTATTGCTCAGTGGAAGAGTACTTTATTAACATGCAGGAGGCACTGAGTTCCTTTAGTGTTCAAATGTCCATTCAAAGTGTAAAGCATTTTATCTCTGAGCGGCTCTGGACACCTTTAAGTCACACTTTCTTCATATTAAGCCCCCTTACCTGACCAGGAAAAGGAGCTTAAGAGTATATAACCTTTTCTCTCACCTTCACTGGCATCTGCAGGGATCTCACTTGCCTCTGGTCTTGGTTGGTCATCTGCACTGTGTTCTCCTTCTGGTTGAATCTGAGATAAGACATCAGGTTGACTCATGGCATAATCTAGGAGAGGAAAAATGGAGAGCAGGTATGACAAAGCGATAAATCAGTATGACAACCAGGCAGGCAGCTGAATGTTTGCGCTCCACAGTCAAGGAATTAATTTCCTTTAGGTCCTTTATCACTTCTCCTCATCTATGGACCTCCAACGATTTACTCAAGAAAGCAGGCGAAAGAAAATGTAACGTATGAGAAAATGCACACAGGAGGTTAGCTCTGTCCTCTTTGGCTTAAAACCAGACTCTGAAATGTATGAGGACACTGGAGGAAACGGAACTATCTAAGCCCTCTTGGGACTACTGGCACCTCATTCAAAAGGTGCCAACTCAGCCTCACCCATGGAGACGAGAGACTCGTAGTTGCCCTTCATGATGTTCTTGTAAAGTTCCTTTTGCCATTCTTCTAATTTTTCCCACTCTGGAGTGGAAAAGTAGATGGAGACATCATCAAATGCAACGGGCACCTAAAATTATAATCACATGGGTTAGTTACTCCCTCCCATACGAGTCGGCTATCCAATAAATCTTTTCCTCCACGCATTAGCTATTTCACTTAATTTTTACAACCTTAAAGGGAGGTCAATAAGTATTCTAGGGCCCGTGAGATGACTCAATGAGTAAAGGCATCTGTCACCAAGCTTTGTGGCCTGAGTTCAACTGCCACAGCCTATGGTAAAAAGGAGAGAGGGGAGAGTCTCCTAGTTATCCTTGGACCTTGACACCTGTGCTGTGGTGCGTCTGTACCCAGATATAAACACATGAAATGCAGGTGTAATCTGAAAAAAATACTTTAAAAAATATTCTAAACTGGGCATGGTGGCGCACACCGTTAGTGCCAGAACTTGAGAGGCAGAGACAGGCAGGTCCCTGAGTTTGAGGTCAACCTGGTCTACAAAGTGAGTTCAAGGACAGTCAGTGCTACAGCTTGTCTCAAACCAAACATACTTTTAAATAACTTATGCTGCTTTTCTTGGGGTTTTTAAATACTATTTTTACTAATTGAGAATTTTATCTGTTAGCTTACTTTGTTTTTTTTCGAGGGTTTCTCTGTGTAGCCCTGGCTGTCCCGGAACTTGCTCTGTAGACCAGACTGCCTCTGCCTCCTGAGTCCTGGGATTAAAGGCTTGTACCACCACCACTTGGCATTAATTGAGAATTTACACAATGTATTTTAATCATATTTATCCCCTCTTCACAGATCTACCCCCACCTTCTTATCCACCCAACTCTTTGTTCTTGCTCTCTCTCTCTCTCTCTCTCTCTCTCTCTCTCTCTCTCTCTCTCTCTCTCTCTCTCTCTCTCTCTCTCTCTCTCTCTTCTAAAGTCCCTTAAGTATAATTTGTGATGTTCAAATATTCTTGGGTATGGGGCCTGCATGCCAAGAGTCATTCTTTATATTTTAGTGTTCCCAAACTTATCATTCATCATTAATAAAACCCTAAAACCCTTACAAAACACAAAATAATATGTAGCTGGAACCCTTCCAGAAACATATTTAGATGTCTTGTAAACACGTGACATTGAGTAAAAACATCTCAGTGTCACAGGTTCAAACTTCAAGCTGAGAGCAGAAGCCCGGCTGTGGTGGTGCACACCTTTAATCCCAGCATTCTGTATTGTTGTGGAGGCTGTCCTGGAACTCGCTCTGTAGAGCAGGCTGGCCTCGAACTCAGAGATCCGCCTGCCTCTGCCTCCCCAGTGCTGGGATTAAAGGCGTGCACCACCAACGGCGCGGGTCCAACTCTTGATACAGGTGGTTGTGAGTTACTGTATGTGGGTCCTCTGAGAAGCAACTGCTGAACCACTCCTCCAGTCCCTCTAATCCTTTATGGGCCTCTAAGACTTGTACTCTCTCCTGCAGTCTCTTCTGTTTGTATTCATGAAGAGATTTTCCCTTTCTGGTCCACTACAGGTCTGTCTTCATGACTACATTGTTTCTCCTCTGACGCATTCATTCACCTACTGTGTCTGTTTCTCTCTTTTGATATATTTCCAACTTCTAGTTACACTTTTTCAGCTTGGCTTCTTAATTTTTAGCATCTAACCATGTCCTTCAATATCTGGTTTGTGCTTGGCAAGTCATTCTTTGACTAAAAAATAAGTCACTTAAACCTACAAAATACCCATTTGCTATTTTGGATCATATGGATCATAATGTTCATTGTTTCCCATCTTCAATGCATTTTCCATCTTCTGCATCTCAATGTTGCAACTTGTTGCTGTTTCACCAACGCACGCACTGACGCTCCTTTCTAGCCATCTCTGTACCATCTGGGAAGCCTGCAGTGTTTTCACACTTATCTTTTTCAGACTGCTTCTAGACATCATGTCTCCACTTTCATTTTCTCTAAATACATGAATGTGTTTTCATATTCTAGTTTTTTTTTTCCTTTTGGGGGTTGGGGTGGGTTGGGTTGGAGAGTCAGCCATGGGTGCTGGGAACCAAACTCTATTATCTATTTTTTGTGTATACAGTCTTCTGCCTACATGCCGGCGGAGGGCACCAGATCTCATCAAGGTGGTTGTGAGCCACCATGTGGTTGCTGGGAATTGAACTCAGGACATCTGGAAGAACAGTCAGTGCTCTTAACCGCTGAGCCATCTCTCCAGCCTCCGGGAACCAAACTCTCACATTTTTTGGTTTCGAGCATAGCTTTTAATACCTAAACCACTTCTCCAACCCTCAAATTTGTTTTTCCCTTATAATATAAAAATACCACAAAGTACCATAATTTCTGATGAATGTCTTCCCTTGCAGCACATGTTTTACAAATTCATTCAAGATCTTTTTTTCTTTTAAGAAATGGAGGTTTTACTATGTTGCCAAGGATGCTCTTAACCCTGAGCGCAGGTGCACAGCACTGTCCTAAGCTCCCTTTAAGAATACTCTGTCGAGAGCCGGGCAGTGGTGGCGCACGCCTTTAATCCCAGCACTCGGGAGGCAGAGGCAGGCGGATCTCTGTGAGTTCGAAGCCGGGCTGGACCGACAGCCTCCAAAACAACACAGAGAAACCCTGTCTCGTAAAAAAAAAAAAAAAAGGATTCTCTGTCGAGCTGGGTAGCGGTGGCTGCAGCCGGTAACCCTAGCACTGGGGGAGCAGAAGCAGAAGCAGGCTGATCTCCGTGAGTTCAGGGCTACACAGAGAAACCCTGTCCCAAAAAAACTAAACCAAACATACGAAACTCACCATCTAGTATTTATCAGCAGAGTGGGACATTTCATTATCTGACTATCCATTTCACCTCGAATCTTATTCCTCTCTGTCCAGTTCACACCTAGCTCTTATAATTTAGCTGATATTACCTGTTGTTAGAGAACAAACTCATTACACTGGCAGTCTTTGAAGGACATTTCAGCTTGTCTTTTTAGAGATGGAGTATTTGTATGTAGCCCAGTCTGACCTGGACCTTGCTGTGTAGCCAATGGAATGGATCTGATGCGCCTGTCTCCACCTCCTAAGTGTTAGATTCTAGGCATGTGCCACCAAGCTCAGTCTCTTTGGAGGATTTCTACTTGAGTAACAGAATTTTTTTGGGGGGGTGGGGGGTTCGAGGCAGGGTTTCTCTATGGCTTTGGAGGCTGTCTTGGAACTAGCTGTTGTAGACCAGGCTGGTCTCCAACTCACAGAGCCTCTGGCTCCTGAGTGCTAGAATTAAAGGTGTATGCCACCACTGCCTGGTTCAGAAAAACAGGATTGTTAAAGGAAGAATAGTAAGTATATATAAGTGGATAAAAAATATGGGAATTAGAAAAACAGTGCATTTGAAAAATCACTTAGAATAGAGCCAGGTGTGGTGGCCTTTAATCCCAGTGCTCAGGAGGCAGAAGCAGGTGGATCTCTGTGAGTTGGAGGCCAGCCTGGTCTACAAAGCTACACAGAGAAACCTTATCTCGAGCCCCCTTCCCCCGGGTAAAAAAATCTGAAAGAAACCTAAGTCCATGAAAGACACAGAGAATAAATAAAAATAAAGTTAAAAACAAAACAAAAACAAAAACAAATGGAACAGTCTTAGTTGGAGGTGGTGGTATGGTGCATGCTCTTACTTTTAATCCCAGCACTTGGGAGGCAGAGGCAGGCAGATCTTTGTGAGTTCAACACCAGCTGGATCTTTGGCATGGTTCTAGGACAGCCAGGGCTACGGGGGTGGGGGGGGGGGCGGAGGAGAAGAAGAAGAGGAAGAGGAAGAGGAAGAAGAGGAGGAAAAAGAAAAGAAAGAAACAGAACTGCATAGAGAGCTCTGCTCTTTTATTCACATTTCTACAGCTAGATCCCAAAACCACACTCTCTCACTAGTTTCTAATTCTTGTAGTTTTAGGTTCATAATAATTCAAGTTTTTATGGAGCTAGTACCTGGTAGCATCGTTTCTTCTAAGTCTTCATTTTTTTTTTGTACTAATTCCCCTTAAAGCTCTTCAAGCACAACTGAAATTTTTCCTGGTGACTTTATTTTTCACTAAAGGCACTTAATAAGTTCATTTTATAGCACCGTGTGTTCATTCCACATCCACTTTCAAGAGTCAGATGCTAGTTTTATTTTACTATTTGGCAGTTGGTTACTTACTGTTTTATTTTTGAGACCAGGTCTCACTCTGTAGCCCAGGCTGGCCTGGAACTTGATATGAACTCACTGAGCTATGCCTGTCTCTACACTGAGTGCTGGGATTAAAGGCCTGAACCAGAGTTGATACCTTTAGAACCCTGACTAAGAATCTGTCAGCCCACTATCTTTTCCAGGAGAAAAACAGTAAGGAAAAGTGTCCACATTGGAAAGTGAGCGGGCAGTCATGAAAAAGTTCTGGTTTCCTTTCCAGGAATATTTCCCATTTCCTTCTTACTAAGGCAGAACCTACAGGCCAAACTGTACCAGATTTACACACAGGGTTGCCAAAGGGCAGGGAAGGGTACTTCCATAGCGCTGGCTACTAACACACACTCAGCCCATCTCACAGCGCACTGGGGCTAAGCGATGAGGCATTGGCTTAAAAAATGTGGTCCTATGGGGGGGGGTGTTGGTTAAGCCCACCACACCTATAAGGTCTCCCAGCAAATAGGGGATACAGCATGCAAGGAAGGACAATGAGAGGGCATAGTGAGGAGGAGTCCCAGCAGCAGGAAGGAGAAAGTGGAACAAGCAGGCACAGCAGCAAGAGGAGGAAAGGCAGAATCGGGGAACAGGAAAAGCTCACGTCCCAAAGAAACACCAGAGACACGAGGAGGAGCAGCAAGGGGAAGCCTTGAAGCAAAAAAAGGAGGCTGCCCCAGATGGAATCCCGAGAGATTCAGGAGGAAGACAAGAACTCGCTGGAGAAAGCCCACAGGAGTCACTACCTCAGACTACTGTCCTTCCTCCTCAACCTCCTTACTCAATAATATTTTCATTTGTCTTTTTAATTATTTATTTATCTTTATTTTATGTGCATTGATGTTTTGCCTGCATGTATGTCTGTGTGAGGATGCCAGAT